AGTTGAAGCTGATAAATACGAACGGTAAAGAAGTTGCAAGGCCATGAATTATGCAAGGAAAACGCCAGTAGGACAAGGCCTCAATTGTTCATAGAGAGGGACCCTCTCTAAGAATCGAAGGCAATGGGGAAGCTTAGCTTTCCGAACAACAATGAGGAAACAGGATTCAGTGAACTATGAGAAATCGATTGCCCAGAGATTTGGTCCATCGATTACAAAACTTTAAAAAACTGTTAGGTTTATTCAAGATTTTATTGTTTAGTTTTCTTTAATATTTCTTTGAGTTTGTTAGTTGTGCGTGTGGCTTATCTTGTAGCCACATTTCTCTTTAAATAAGCTTTTTGAGTTTGTATCAGACAGGTCATAAAGAAAGAAAAGCCATTTCTCTGTTCAGTTTACGTTTTCCGATTTTTTCCTTTTCCTCAAGAAGCCGAACAGAGCTTCTTCTTTAAGCTCTGGTGTTCAAACGCTTTCTCTGATTTTACATTTTGGTATCAGAGCCACCTTCCATTTCTTGCTTTGGGTTCCGATCTATTTCTTCCTCAACTCCATTTTTCTTCTTCTTCATTCGCACGGCACTCCTCACCGGAGAACCACCTGGAAGGAAGGAGTTCTTGGAGCTAAGAAGATCAGATTTGATGAAGCAAGAAGCTCTGGAAGTGCAACAGTTCGTGTAGAGGTGAGATCGTCGGAGGCTGGAGGTTGGCGAGAGCAGGACACGCGCAAAGGTGATCGTGCTGGGCTGTGTGGGCCGGAGGAGCTCACGAACAGCAAGTACACGGGAGGTTGCACACGGAGGCCGGCCGGAGACAGGCTGGCGGCGAGCGTGGTGCGAGAAGGCGGCGTGAGGCGTGCGAAGGCGCTGGTGGCTGGGCGCGGAGACCGCATGGGAGAAGGCTCCTCGGGGGAGTTCGCCGGAGGAGCTGTGGCTGATTTAACGGTTTTTTGAACCGTTAAGCCGCACAGTAGCTAGCCGAAGGGTTCTGCATGTGTTGAGGAGCAAAGCACAGAGGTTTTTCTTTTAAGATCTTGATTTCTTCGTCATGTCGATGCCTGCTCGGGGGAGTTCGCTGGAGGAGCTGTGGCTGATTTAACTGTTTTTTGAACCGTTAAGCCACACAGTAGCTAGCCGAAGGGTTCTGCATGTGTTAAGGAGCAAAGCACAGAGGTTTTTTCTTTTAAGATCTTGATTTCTTCGTCATGTCGATGCAAAGACTGGAGATCAACAAGTTCAAGGGAGAGAATGATTTCAGTATGTGGAGGATCAAGATGAAGGCGCTTTAGTTCATCAAGGCCTCTCCGATGCAATCTTTGAAGAGAACCTCGCTGCAATCACCGACAGAGCCAAGGCGAGAGAAATCTAATTGAAAGCGCACAGTATCATCCTTCTCTCTATCGGTGACGAAGTTTTAAGAGAGGTTGCTGAAGAAGACACGGCATTGAAGGTATGGAGGAAGCTAGAATCAATTTATATGAAAAAGTCTCTTACAAATCAATTGTTGTTGAAGAAACAACTGTATACGCTCCAAATGGAAGAAAATCAAGAACTCCGAAAGCATTTGGACGACTTCAATAAATTGATTCTTGACCTCAGAAATGTGGATGTGAAAATTGACGAAGAAGATCAAGGGATTATACTCCTCAACTCTCTACCGAAGACGTATGAAAACATAATTGACACTATGTTGTATGGTAAGCAAACTTTGACATTAACGGAGGTTAAGTCCGTTTTAATGTCAAAAGACGTTCAAAGGAAAATTGATCAAAAGGAAGACAAGAATGGCAACATTCTGATCGCTAAAGGAAGATCAGAATCGCGTAGATTCAACGCCAACAGGAAGTGCTATCATTGTAATAAAGAAGGGCATATTAAGAGATTTTATCCAAATTTGTCTCAAGGGGTTGAACCAGAAGTTAGCTTAGCCATAGCCGCAGATTTGGGAGACGATTGGACAGATTCTGATGTTTTGTAAAATCTGGATTAGGGGGTTGATTGTTAGGTTTATTCCAGATTTTATTGTTTAGTTTTCTTTAATATTTCTTTGAGTTTGTTAGTTGTGTGTGTGGCTTATCTTGTAGCCACATTTCTCTTTAAATAAGCTTTTTGAGTTTGTATCAAACAGGTCATACAGAAAGAAAAGTCATTTCTTTGTTCAGTTTATGTTTTCCAATTTTTTCCTTTTCCTCAAGAAGCCGAACAAAGCTTCTTCTTTAAGCTCTGGTGTTCAAACGCTTTCTCTGATTTTACAAAAACATTAGAGGTCTCTCCAGATTCCCCTCCGGACTGTCCGGACACCACACGTAATAATCTCCCCAAATGAAAAATTATTACGTGCAGCAACCGGATTTGTTCGGAGGCAAATCCGGATACACCACGTCACCCGGGGCCTGGTGCATCCGGGTGACATGGCGCGTCCAGATTCGCCTCCGAACGGTCCGAACACCTCACGTAATAATCTCCCCTCTCAAAGACGAGAACCGAGTGGAATAAAAAAAGGCCATCAGGGGTGACATTGGTGGATACAGAGTGTTATGGAGTGATGATGGGTACAGGGAAGGTGGAGACGAGTCAGGGGATATGTAGGGGAGAAGTGTTGACCATCAGGGGTTCAAGTGAGGGGGGATTTTCTTTCATTAGAATTAGGGAACATTGATGTCATCCTGGGGATGAAGTGACTGTAGACCTTGGGGGACACCAAGGTCAATTGGGGACCATTGGCATTGGAGCTGCTGATGGAAGGGAGAAGTGTAGCAATCATGAGAGATGAAGGGCTCACCAAAGCCATGATATTACTTAAAACCAAGGTGATGAGCATACAAGAGGTGGGGGAAGGTTATCTGATAGAACTACATAGGCTGAAGGGGATCAGATTGGAGAAGGGAGAGGACATTCCTCTTTCAGTACAGCCATTGATTCAGCGGTTCAATGAGGTTTTTCAGTCGCCTCAGAAGTTATCACCTCCATGGAAACACGAGCATGCTATCATCTTGAAGGAAGTAGTTTTACCTCTCAGTGTTCATCCATATCATCATCCCCAAATCCATAAGGATGAGATCAAAGATTGGTTAGGGAGATGTTGTGGAAGCCGGGATCGTTCAGCCCAATATCAGACCATTTTTCAACCCAATGTTATTGATCAAATGCTTTAGCAGTAGTTTCCTTCGTTCCACCTTGAGGACAAGGAGGCACTTTGGGAGGGGAGTATTGTTAGACCGATCCATTGGACCGGTCCAGCCGGTCCACAAGGGACCGACTCAGGCGGACAGAGGCGGAAGTTCCACCTCTATACTCGCCAACCGAACCGTAGGAGCCAATAGAGCAGTTTAGGAAGGATTTTTGAGGACATTAGGAGGGAAATTTGAATGTATGAACTGTTTAGAGATTTTCTTTTTGGATTGTATGCATTAAATAGTTTGTTTTCTGAGAGTTAGGGCATCTTGAATTTTGACTGAAATTGAGATATCTTAAACTTAGGTTTTTTTTTTTTTTTGCTCTAGCGGCGTCTAGAGATTTGGGAGAGATAGATCCTCCTCTCGAATAGAGGATCAATTGTATCTTGTCATTTTCCTTCTATTAGTTTGATTATTCCAATAAAAACTACTATTTTTTCCAATTTTTCCTTTGGATTGGTTGATCGTTCTCGCTATTTTTGTCAAGATCGTTAGTTTTCACTTGAGATCTTCAAGTGTTTCCTAACATGCTCTTGTTGGTATTGTTCCAATTGCATCAAAAATCATTGTCGTTGGCATGCACTAATGTGTGGTCTCCGCTAAATATTGAGTGGATGTTAGCACATACTAAATATCTCCTAGTATGTGCTAACATCCACTCAATATTTCTCTGGTTCTAACAACCTTCAAACAATCCACCTAACATCAATGGCTCATGAGCACCTTTCAGCGACCAGATTGTGAAATTCAACACCAAGCATATATACTACTAAAGTGGCATGACCCTCAAAATTTTATTTGCTTATAAAATGTCGTCATTATCCCTATATCCTTTTTTAGCAACCTTAGCCAATAAATGGAACCTGTTTAAACTTGTAATACTGTTGGTATGGAGTTCGGCTATTTGGGGATTGATGCCAAAAATATATCAACTCTTACTACTACCTCTATGTATTCATTTTCCTCCTAATATGTATAAGTACACAACTTTAAATCAATTCTTAAATATAGTGGAACTCTCTACCTCAACAAAGTTGCATATTGCCTCGGGTGCTCCCTCTACCACATGTCACATTGGACTTAAGATGAGAAATCAACGCTCGTCATAATCAGGTGGTGATACACTGAATGTTTGGAACGACTTGCACCAAATGTCAAGATCCTTTGCTAGCAACTCTCACACCCAATTAAATCGGGTCCATTTAAGAGGGTGAGATGAGATCTTACACATATTAGATCTTACACATTAAAAAAGCCGTCCCAAATGAAGTTTAAATAACAACCTGACAGAAGATTATAATTGCAAGGTTGCCTCTGAACCAACAGCATAAGGAAAAGTAGTTTAAGGACTACATTGTCATCTAAATGATAAAACACAGAATAAATGTCATGAAACGAATTCACTGAAATTTTTAAAAAGAAGTTCACACGTACAATAAAAGACTTCTAAATGGACAATTTAAAGCTCAGCCTTGGTCAAACAAACGAATTCATTGAAAATTTCATGAAAAGAATAATCAAAATTTCACATGGGACAACCAATCTATATATTAAAATAAAGAAAAAACGACACCAGCCTTGAAAATAATGATATATGCATCACGCTACAAGAACTAGATAAGCTACATCTTTGACATAAAAACATATGCCAAGTACACTGGACGATAGACAGTGAAAATACTACAACACCTTATAAGTTATAACCAACACTAGATAATTCGAGGCATTCCTTCCATGTTTCCACCTATCACCATGTCAAATCAGGTTGTCAGCACAATTCAATAAAACGACAGGGGCCAACAAACAAGAACTCGATCATCTTCAAAAAGTTTAATAAACCCAAAGTAAGTTTTCCATTTATTCAAAGAAACTGCATGTCATGATATGGTTAAAAAATTAAATCAATGAACAAGTACATTAAGAATTCAATTACAGCCGGAAGCTAATAGAAAAGATCACAAAAGAAAAGAGGCTCTCCTGATATTTGGTTTTGAATAAAGTATAAAAGCACACGCCGGAAGCAGCGCAGCAGAAAGGAAATTGTGCTTCCTTTTCTTATATTGAGGGTCAAGAAAAATAATAATATCCTGCAAACAAGAAACACCTCCAATTCAAAACCCTCCGTTTCCAGACTCCAGTCCCCTCTTCTTTCCGTAAATGATAATAGAAAGATTTGGATGCAGACAACGTACTCCTAACGAAATAAGAATGCTAAACTCATCATCTAAGATAAAGAAGAAGAGGAAGAAGAAGAATGTAATCAAAATTTCGAAAACTAGGAATTCGGGAAAGTTTTTAAGCAAGCAATTCTGACCCGTCGTCCGCATTTACCATCAGCTGGAGTTGCTGCTGCTGCCACTTCTTCCCTTCTTGTTCAAGTATGATCCTGAAGGAGGAGCGTAGTAGGTTAGGTACCATTTCACGAACTTTTTCAGCCCCGTCTGCAGGTTAGTAGTCGGATGATAACCGAGCTCTTTCTTCGCCAAACTGATGTTTGCATGAGTAAATTGAACGTCTCCATTCCTTGGCATCTTGACAACCTTACGCTTGGCCTTCATCTTGAGGTGACGCTCAAGAATGGCGACAAGCTCAACAACAGGAACGGGGGAGGTGTTACCAAGGTTGAAGACACGGAGCTGAGCTGGTCCCTGTTTTGTCCCGCCGCTGCCCGTGCTCTTCTGGGCGGTATCCAGAGATGCAAGGCAACCCTGCACAATGTCGTCAATGTAGGTGAAGTCACGGGCAATTGTGGCGCCATCAGAGCCTTCAAAGATTGTGATGGACTTGCCGGCAAGAATGTCCCTTGTGAAGAAGAAGTAGGCCATATCAGGGCGGCCCCAAGGACCATAAACAGTAAAGAAGCGAAGGCCAGTAATTGAGAGACCGTATATGTGGTTATATACATGCGCAATCTCCTCACCAGCCTTCTTACTGGCGGCATAGAGGGACGCTGGGCGGTCAGTTCGGTGGGATTCCGAAAAGGGGACTTGGGTGTTGAGGCCGTACACGGAGGAGGAGGATGCCCACACAATTGCCGGCTGGGAGGTGGCAGAGCGCGCGGCCTCGAGAATGGAGACAAGGCCGGCTACGTTGCTACGAACGTAGGATCCAGGATTCACCATCGCGTATCGGACCCCCGCCTGGGCCGCGAGGTGGAGGACATGGGTGAAGGTGACGAGATCGAAAAGCTTGCTGAGTAGGAGGGCATCATTGATGTCACCTTCGACCAGGAAGACGCCAGATTTGGAGAGGAGAGCCTGGCGTGCGCGTTTCAAGGAGGGATCGTAGTAATTGTTGAAGTTGTCGAGACCAACCACGCCATCGCCGCGGCGCCTGAGGGCATTACTGGCATGAGTGCCGACAAAGCCAGCTGCGCCGGTTACAAGCACAGAGATGCCAAAAGGACGACGCCGTATGCGTGCGGAGGAGCGGACGTGTTTCTCCCACTCGGGGCCGCCCCAGGCAGCCGAGGAAGAGGTGCGTAGAGAACGCCGCTCGGTTGTGGGGGAAGAACGCGAAACTGCGGAGGAGGAATGTGGGGAGATGAGAAAGAAGGCAAATAGGATAGCCGCGGCGAAGAAGGACAAGGTAAGGAGCTTGGGGAAGGAGAAGTGGTGCCAGCGAAGGAAACGATGATGATGGTGATGGTACGACTTCTCCGACTTGAACTTGGCGGGGATCGAAGGGACGGCGACATCCATGTAGGACATTTGCTTCAGCTGCCGAATTCCCCAAATTCAGATGCGAAATCACAAATCCCCAAGAACGAAGAAAGACAACACGAAGAAGAAGACAAATGCAAGAATCCAATTACAATCCTCTGCTCCTTCCCCAACTTTTCCCCGCGTGCTCTATTCGAAGCGTCCGTCCTAGATGTCCCCTAAAGCAGAATGGCTGCGATTCATTTTAACTCATTAGCAAGGAATGGAATCCTATGGCGGAATTATGCCTTGCGTATTAGAAGGGAAGAGGAAAGGAATTCAGGAACCCTAATCTCTGTCGGAGAAGCAGCCCATCAGCGCCATAGGACGGATTCTTAGAGGAGAGCGGGCATTGTCCGTTGAGATTTGGAGGGGCGCGGCGCAACTGGAGAGAGACGGCGGGGAGACAGTGAGTGAGCCGGAGACTGGATCGGAATTGTGGAACAAAAAAAAATTATGCGGCTAGTGTTCGTTAGCTAAAATTGGATTTATTGGGGATGTAATTGTGAATTTATATATTTATTTATTTATTTATTTGATTTTGAAAACTCAACTTTATATTCCCAAAAAAAAAACTCAACTTTATTTAATTGATTATGAAAGTTTATAATGAAATTATTTATCCTATGATTTATATTAATTGATTATATTTTAAACAAAAATTTTAGGCTTTTACATAACCTATAGGCGTCTCTCAAATCTTGTCAATTATAATTATAATGAATAAAATTTAAGAAAAATAACATGCAATTTTAAGAGCGGCCCCCAATATAAATAAATAATTGTATAAATAAATAAAAATGTAACATACACTTTTCATCAAAAATGAAAATTAGTTTTTGGGTGACCTGACTTTTTACTCTCCTTCATCAGTTCCAAATTAAGGGTGTTAAATTGGATTTGGTTGATGAGCAACACATTAAAGTAGTCCATTATTGCAATAAAACCCACTTTAAATAGATTTAAACTCTTATGATTTAAAATTAAATTTATTTTATAAGTTTAAAGAGAAGCTATTTAAGTTTATCCAAAAAAAATGAAAAGTTTCAAGTGAATTAGACTCTAAAGGATATAGCTTCTTCTTTCCACTTCTAGATGCTCCCCTATTCTGCCTTGACCACTTTATGTCCTTTTTGAGTGGTGTATTAGATCTACTCTTCTGATCTAGCCTTGGTTGAAAGATGACTCCCTCTAGATGGACTCTCAACCACCTCCCTCCTTAGAGAACCCCTTCAACAATATTGTATCATTCTCCCTCTATAAGCTCTATCAAGCTAAAAACCATAGATAAATTTAAAAAAAAAAAAATCATAGATAAAATTTTAGTGATACTCTTAGTATGTTTTGCTCTTCTAAGCTTGTTACACTATCATCTCCGTCTATATGATCATTATGGTAAAGATAATAATTTAATTAGTGTGTCCTCGGGTTGATAGTGAAAGGTTTGTTTGGGTAGTGGTCAAACGATTATTTAGGATTTGGACAAATTTAATGCTGAAATTCTAAGCTACCATGGGTAAGCTTCCTTGGATAATAAGGGGAGAAACTTGAAATCAAAGATTTTGGATGTTAAGGAATTAATGTTAGTATTTTATGGATCTTGAATCAGCATTTCAAGAGTTGTGATGTTTTTAATATGATTGTTGACAATAGAAAATTTTCTTTCTATAATAGCCTTTTGGCTAGAGTATCTTAGAGTTAATAGGGAGTTGAGGCCTTAAGAGGTTATGAGTAATATGAGAGAATATTTGATAGAGTTTTTAAAAGGTTAGATGTGTTTTGTGATTAAGGGAAGCAAAGATTGGAGAATTATGTTGGGAAAGAAGAGGATTAAGCATAAAAAAGATAACTAATGACTCACAAAAGCTCTCGTTGATCAGTCACCAAACTTCACCAGAGCATAAAGTATCCACCAAAAATTTCAACATAAAGTTTGCACATAAGTAATAAGTATTTTTTTTATTCAACTAATCCAAAAATGAAGTGTGGGAAAGAAAATGAAGTTTGGGAGGCTTTAACGAAAATGAAGTGCGGGAAAACTATTAAACCTGATGATATTCCAATAGAGGTCTAGAAATGCTTCGGAGATAAAGAAATTTCTTGGCTTACTAAACTTTTTAATATAATATGAAAACTAAAAAGATGTAAGCTATGTGGAGAATGAATGTGTTAATTCCTACCTTTAAGAATAAAGGTGATGCACAAGATTGTGCAAATTATAGATGAATTAAGTTAATGTGTCATACTCTAAAACTATGGGAGAGTTAGGGAGCATAGGTTACAACGTGATACTAATATTTCTCAAAATCAATTTGGATTCATACTGGGTAGGTCTGCAATGAAATCCATACATTTATTGAGAGGTTTGATGGAGAAGTATTGAGAGAAAAAAGAAGATCATTATATTATATTTATTAATTTAGAGTTCTAAAAAAGAAAGGGATTAATAATGTGTATGTTCATGTTATTAGAGATATGAATGCTGGAGTTGTTGTGTTCAAACACAAGGTGGTTTGACCAAGTATTTTCCAATTTCAATTGGATTAAATCAAGAATCAGCCTTAAGCCCATATCTGTTTGATTTATTCATTGATATTCTTACTAGAGATTTGCAAGAGGATGTTCCGTGGTGTATGCATTTTGCTGATGATATTTTTCTTATTAATAAGACCAAAGATAGAGTTGAAGGTAAACTTGAATTATGGAGGCCAGCCTTAGAGTCTAAAGGTTTTCGTTTGAGTAGATCTAAAATCGAATACATATAGTAGAATTTTAGTAGTAATATATCTAGTGGGGTTTTGTGACTTTGAGCGATCAAGTCATTAATAAGAGTATATGTTTTAGATATCTTGATTCTTTTGTTTAGAGTAATGGTGAAATAGATGGGATATTATTAGTAGAATTCAAGTTGGATGGATGAACTGGAGGAATGCAACAGGCTTGTTGTGTGATAGAAAAGTAACACTCAAACTTAAGAGAAAATTCTATAAGATGGTGGTTATACCTGCAATGCTTTATAGCGCAGAATGTTAGCCATTAAAAGAGAAGCAATAAACTAAATTAAGTGTTGCGGAGATGAGGATGCTCAGGTGGATGAGTGACTTTACCTTAGAGACAAGATATCAAAATGAGCATATACGTGAAAAGGTTGGAGTAGCTCCAGTGGCAAATAAGGTTAGAGTGAGTCGTCTTAGATGATTTGGTCACATAAAACGGCAGCCTTCCGATGACCAGGTTAAGCGAGTAGATGTATTAGATTTAATCTATGTTAAGAAAGGTAGAGGTAGACCTAAAAAGATTTGGTCATAAAATATTAGAAATGATCTTTCTTTATTAGATATAAATAAGAATTTGACACTTAACTGGACACAATGGAGAAAAAGGATTAATGTAGCTGATCCCACATAGTACGATAAAGGCTTGTTGTTGTTGCTATTGTTGCATTCAATGAAATCAAAAATATAAAACAAAGTTTTATTGATATACCTTTTCCAATCCTAGATAACTTCATAACCATTTCTCTATGAAACACCATCTATGAAATTAGCCAAATTGCTAGTCATATGTTACCGCATATATTTTTTGAATTTGTATGGTTGGAAGATGGATTATCTAAATATGACTGCTTCCATCTGACATCATAATTTATTGTGAGAGGATAAGACTAATAGCTATGGAGAGGTAGAATAACATGGAGAGACTTTACAAATATGACAAATCTGATCAAATATAATATCAAACCATATGATTTAGGGGATATATTCACGGATAAGAAGTGTTTCAAGATATCATTGTTTAATCATATCTAATGAGGAAGGCCAGACGAAAACACTGATGTTCTCCTTCTTTTAACGTTATCTTTTTCCACCCTTTTGATAGTTTGAAGTAGTTGAACATGTGATGTAAGAGCAAGGACATGAAGAAAGACAAGGGGTTTCCAACCATAACAAAAGGTTCTCTACCGCCTTCATAAATATAGCATCTCTTCATCAAATTAGTATTAAAAAAATGGTATCAAACTGGTACCAGTAAAATTTGATTCTGTATCATTTTTATTTTTTTCAAGAAAAGTTAAGCTTCCTTGCTGATTTTGTTTCCTGATTGATCCTGGAATAGGAAGGTGCAGGATATAAATTTTCAGAACTGACCAAACTGAATTCCTAATCTTGTCTCAGGATTAAATTTAATCACGACCGCCTGGTAACACAACAGAACTAGGTGGGATTTCATTGGGATTAATCGCAGAACAATAAGATACTCCACTAAAATAAACTTGCTCTAGAAATACAAATGAGCGGATAATCGAAGACTCGAGTACTAAATATACAGCCTAAATCATTGAAAATCATATAGGTACGTTAAGGTTTTTTGGATCCTGTAACATCTATGATGCACAGATACGGACACGACTACGCGGATATGACATGACACGGACACTGTACACTTAAAGTATCAAAAATATAGGGCACGGAGACGAGTTGGATACGGTATTATAATTTTTATATTTTGAAAATAGCATATAAAATTTAATAATTGTAATAGTAATCATAATTTAGAAATAATAAGTCATTTAAAAAGAAGTTGGGCTAAAAAATAATTAATATTAGGTTGTCTAAAGTCGAAAGTTGATGCCATGTATAAGGCATCGAGAGAGATGATGACAATATTATCGAGAGTCGGGCATCAATATTATGCAGTAAGTATTAGGCGTCAATATCAAGAGGGCGTCTGTAGTCGATGTTGCAACAATGCTATCGAGAGTCAATGTAAAGAGCGCGTCTGTAGTCGATGTTGAGAGGCGTTGGTCGTTGATGTTAAGACAACTTCGGACAAATATGAGCTATCAAGTTGTGAGTGTAGAAATTGCTAGCGTCAGCATCAATATTAAGACATTGTCAGACTTTGATGTTGAGATTGTTTTGAAATTTCGATGTTGTAACGACGACATATTTCAATGTTAAGATTACATTGGGCATTGTTACAATTAGGAAGGATGAATTGATAGATTATTATAAGGGGATGACAGGAATAGCATTTATTCAAGATAAGATAGTGAAAAATAAACTCAAGTGGTTCAAATATATATATTAAATGATGGAAGTCAAATTAACTAGGGAACTATATAAAAGAGAAAAAGTAAAGGGATAATTTAAATAAATTGATTATAAGTTCCAGTAACGTTAGAACTTAGAACAAATTAGCAATTTGATCAAATATTAATATCAAAATACATCTACTTAAGGTTCAGTTGGTTTCATTTTATGGTTGGGAGTAACAGGTGGCTCCACCCCTTACATGAGCTGCTCATTAGGCAGGGTGGGCCTAACAAGGCTATGCTTGTTATATAGCTGTATAAGAAATTAAAAATATGATAATTTTAGATATTAACACTGTATAAGAAACTTTACCATAGACAAAATATTTATATTTAACTTTTCTACCACCATTTCATCAAGAGCTTTAGATATGGTTGTTATATAGCATACTTATACTTTATGAAGTAGATTATATCGATTGAAATATATTGAATATTATTCTAAACTATAAAACGTATATGCTGAAATGCTCTATGGTCTATTAACTTTTTTAAGTTGGAGTATAAAAGTTTTAAATTGAACAGTTTGAACAAATAATATTAGGATAATAATAAATAAATTATATCTGCTTCAAATAGTTAAAAAAAATCGTATGTGGATTTATATGAATTTGAAATTTGTATAAAAATATTTGCACTTCATGAAAAAAATGTATAAAATAATTTTTTTTAGCGTACTAATGTTTTTGTAATTTTAGATAAGTATAATTTATAGTTACCATTGCATATAGTTTATATTATCTTATATATTATTTATATTGAGATTTATAAATTAGTTAATAGCCTACAAGTATTAGAGGTGGTAAGTTCACCACAAGTTACCATATATCACTTTCAAGTCATGCTTAGCCAATAGATTAAATCTATTATAGTTCACTAGAATTGTTTTTATACACATAAAAATTCAAAAATCAATGAAACTCTTGTCCATGAAACTTATTCTGATAACCGAATTTCAACCATTTTCAAATACTTTGTATAAATAAACTGTCCTAAATGTGTAATGATATTGATGCACAAATTTGATTGTGGTTTTTTTTTTTTTTTTAAATAAAGTGGCTTTCTTTTACCATCAAACAACTTGTTTTCTTCTCTCATTTTCCTAATTTGTGTCCTTAGATTTTTTCATTCATTCATTTCTTTACTCAACATGACTCAGCATTTGAACGTCTGTCGTTTAACACTTTATAGTAGGGTAAATCACATGGAGAATTGCGTTGCTTTTGTATGCCATTATACTCTTTCCATTCTGTTTTTGCTTACCAGGTCCTATGCTAGAAAGAAAGGAAGAAATAATGTTACAGTGGATGATCTTATTCATGTTATCACACCAAAAGGAAGAGGTAGATGATATTTAACTAGCATCTTGATCAATTTTTTCTTATCTTTTTTCAATACTAGTTTGCATGTTCCTTCATTTAACAATCACATCTCTACTGTCTAGTAAATTAGGAAGTGGTATCTTACTCTTTTTGGTATATTGTTATATTGAAAATTTTTTATTCTACCATCTCTTAAACCAGTATCTTCCATAAATTTATTTGCCAAATTAGCTCCAATAAATCTGCCGTGTGTTTGGAAAGAGATCTTTAATGCTATTTGATTTTTAATATTATTTTTAACTTTTTGGGTTAACGGTGTATACCCTTGCATGTTCTGCAATGTTCTGTTTGATTAGTTTTGGATCTAAATGCTCACCAGTTATTATTGTTACTTGATGGGCAATGATCTTCAGCCTTGCAATTCACCTCACTTTGGATGATGGAATTGAGTTTACCAAAATCAGAAAAAAAAAGGTAAGAGTAATCCCATATATCCAAAGGGGTGTGATGGGCTAAATGAAGGTAATTCCGTTCTGTTTTTGCTGCTCCTTTTCCCTTACTCGGCATTCAATAATCATCATAATTCTGGATTAATAACTCCATATATTTACCTTATGATAAAGGATATTAGTTTTTAAGTTTGGTATTCAGCTACCACAGCTTGTCTTTTTTATTTTTAATTTTTTTTTAAAAATGAAATTGTGCTCAACTAATCTAATTATAATTTACTCAACTTCTTAATTGTATTTTATTTCTTCCTTCCTCTTTCTTGTTGTCCCCTTGTGCCTCCACCTGATGTTGCTGGAAGCTTAAGTTAGCAATCTTGCATGAAATTCTGCGTAAGTTCGCTAGCCAGGGAAAGTATTTGAATTGATCCCATATGGTATTGTTGGATCTCTTGAGTGGATTATGTGAATCCCATCTATGGCGGTTATTGTGAAGCCGTGCAGGGGATCCTGTCAAATTTTCTTTTAATGGTTAATCAAGCAATTCATTTGTTGACGAGTTTGCCGAGTAATGAAAACTGCATAAATCATGTCCAAGTCGTGCACAATTCAGTCCTTGTACTTGCTTTGCATTTCACCTGAAACCAAGCAGCTATGATTGGGTGATGATTTGGGCATATAAATTTATGGGTCTCACTCAACTGGGCATGATTTACTACATATTTATTACTGGCCTTTGATTGATTAAATTTTGAGAGTCCAAAAATTTCTAGTAAGGTTCTGTTCTAGTGAGATCCCATGCACCCAAGTGATCATGACCAAAATCTTTGTGGCAAATAGATGTGATTCAGATCGTTCTAGTTTGATCTCGCAGGGGCGAATTCCTGGCAGGCAAACTTGCCTAGGATTCAATGCAAGCTCATTGGCATGGGCTGTCAATGCCAGCGAGTGCTAAGGTGGTTGAGTGGATGACAAATAAAAAAAATATGATAATTAAAGAACTGCCTCAATTATATTCAATTTTGTTGTATTTAGGATTGAGAACCATTCGACTTTGAGCCAATCTAAACCCGGATCTAAATTTTCTCAAATATATACAAGCTATCTCAAAATTGGCTTGTGGATTGAACTAATTTAATTTTGAGCCACGTCCGCTTGAATTAATGTGATGGTGAGTCTACGCAAATTTGAATTGAAACATACCTAATGGGGAACCTATCTGTCTTTAATTGAGTGTGTTTTGAATCCCTATCTCCTTTCATGTTACTTAGCTTTTGATTTTTTATCTTGTTTTTAACTTTCCTTAATTTTCAATTTTTGATGCCCTTCCCTGAACATCTTTGCTCGAAGTTGGTGATTCTTCAAGGGGCTAGCAAGGATTGGTCAGGATTAGATATGACCCTGCTCGTTGCTCTTGACTAGAGATGTTGTCAAGAGAAATACAAGTTTTGAGACACTAGCCAAGATCAAAAGGGCGTAGCAGGAGCTTCCTAAGCTAGTTTTGTCACTCCAGGAGCAGAATGCCAAGTTAGACACATGTTACCCATATATACACACACACACGCCCTTATCAAATGGATCTATATTTTCACATGTGTACTTGGCAATGTTAGATATTTATTGAAGTATGTTCGATATATGTTTTCTCCTACAAATGAAATTCTTGCTCTTGTTTAAGTTTAAAGGGCGGTTTCACTAAGTGCAGACTTTTCATTTTACTTGGGGGCCTTAGCTCATCTATAGAGAGTAATTTTGCAACTTACAAACTTAACCCTAAGTCAAGATCACTTCAATCCCATGCTCAACTTATTCTACCATGTTCTTATTAGGCTGAATTTCACGCAGGAAATAAGTTTCTCAAATATCGACCTAGGTTATTAATTTGTCGACCTTCTAGTTTGAGACTGGCTTACTCCAAACTATAGAGTTGGTCCATTAGATTTTTAGAATGACCTCTCTAGCAGTTTATATTTTTTAGCCAGATTCGAGAGTTGTGATGATTTGTAATTGTGGCATACAAAAGAGAACGGATAAGAAAAAAGTTTCTCAGAGGGGAACCAATTTACCCGATTTTTAAGTTGGAATATTGTGGGTTGTTGAACTTTCTCCTTAGTGACTTCAACCAAATTGAATTTTCACAATGTGAGTTTAATCTTTTGAGGAGTCGAGTGAGTACAAGTAGGTAGATTCCTAAAGTTCTGGTAGCAAAGGGGGCAAGTTCCACTAGTTCTAGTAGCCAAGGGGGTGAGTTCTGTTAATTTTGCTTGCGAAGTGGACGTGTTCCCCAAGTATCTATTGAATTCTAAAATGCGAGTTCTGCAAATTTGAGTGGCATCAATCCATGCTTACCACAACGAGGTCTCCACCTTTCCATATTTGTGGGTCCTCTTTGCCTTACTATGATTCCCAAAATGATTGGTTTCTTGTGATTGACATCAATTCATGCTTATCACACCTAAAAGCATGTTAGATTCAAATTTGTTCATAAGTGATAATTTTGAGTGACATCAATCCATGCTTACCACAACAAGGTCTTGACCTTTCCATATTCATGGGTCCTCTTCCTTACTATTTTGATTCCCATAATGATTGATTTCTGGTGACTGGCATCAATCCATGCTTACCATACCTAAAAGCATGTCAGATTCAAATTCGTCTGTGGTTGACACTCAGACTCTGCTTGCTAGACTAGTTTGACTATTTTTGAGCAATAAGGGAAGAGGTAGGCGAGTAAGAAGAGAAGGCTTTGAGAGTCTATATTTTCTTTGTAATCAATAATTAGCCTAAAGTCCCAAAAAATACATCTCAACCATATATTTATTGGGTTAGGAAAGCTGCAAGAGAGGTTACACTTGAGAAGTAATAAAATAATACATGATTTGATTGCTACATATATGTGGACAGGACTCCAGTTACTAAAAGTCTATAGCCATCTGCGATGTGGCCTTGGAACACCTTTGATGAGTGGCTCTAGCGAGTGCTTCCTACTAGCTACTCTAACGAGTGAGATCTCTAGCTTAGGTGCTAATTGGGTTGGTGAAGTTATTTTTAGGTGGATAAGCATCTCTTGCTCACTGGGTGTATGCCCCTTTATTCAAGGTGAGTTCTTGTAAGACAAGTAACTCATCCGAACTTTTGAGAGAAGTGCCTCTGAGGTGGACCCCTAGCTGAGACGCATGCTATAGGCAAATCCCTCATGACCGGATTGGGTTCCCTCTTTGGTCAAGCTCCTTTACGGTGAGTTCGCATAATCTCCGATTCCTCAGCAATGCTGTCAAATATTCATAACTTGCGCGGATCCGACCATTGGGTATACAATATGCTAGTTGCAAATATGATTTTATGCAGATATTAACTCTTCAACCAACATTACAATGATGCACAAGTCATTATAGGCTCATCTTCTTGTTTGTTGATGAGAAATATGTTAGTGAATGATAATTTTGTTCACTTGTTTTGCATCAGAAAAATGTAATTATTTACTTTTGAGAGGTTTTTAAGATACTAGGAGATTTGAAAATTGATATTAATTTCTAGCTACATATAATGAAATAATGAAATTTAATGAATTTCTTATACTTTAAAACATGATTTCTTTCTACTCAAACAACCCTTTAATAGAAATCATGAATCTCATCTCCTTCAAAAGTTTTTTTTTCTTTTTTTCTAGTCTGAGCAGCTCAGTCATTTTCCTCATAGCTGACAAATTCTTTTCCACTTTTGGATTAATGGTGGGTTGCAGCTTCAGTACCGGACTCTGTGAAGGCTGAGCTATTACAACGCATTCGTGCATTCCTCACATCAGCTGCCCTTTAATACGATGTTATCAGTTCATACTTGGTAGGAATATCTGATCAAATTTTTAATTTGTTGTCTTGGATTAAGCCTTGGTTTTTCTTAGTACTTTTATTTTTTCAACAATGCTTTTCAAATCTGTTGAAGGGATCAGTGTGGACCTTAACCTCACCACATATTATAATCTTATAAAAGTCCCATTGCCGATTATTTAGGGGAACCGAATTTTATCTGTATAGAATTCAGAACATCTCCATTGCATCTGTTGCTGTGCAGTAGCAGGAAGATCATCTTTTATGTATAATGTGAAGACTTTGAATTTATAAACATAAAATTTTACATCTTTTGCATTTCTTTATTGCAATTTAGGTTTCGTTTGAAATGGTTTTTTACTGCTTTCTAAAACAGTTTTTTATTACAAAAATTTCATAAACTAACAAATTTTGTGCTAGAAAATTGCTTCAGAAAACTGTCCCGAATGAAGCCTTAGCGTTCCTTTGAAAATTTTTTTTTTTTCTAGATTGCAAATCTTATGGTTTTTGTGCTTTCAAAGAGCCACAAAATTTGGCATTTTTTTTTAGATTTGAATAAATATAATTGTAGGGATCAAGGAGTAGAGTGATTTGGTGGCCATGAACTGCAAAATTGACATTGGGTTCCAGCAACTCATTGTAGAACTTTGCTATTTTCTTTTTATTTCTAATATGAACGGTGGACCTTCATGAGATTTTATCATCCTGAGCTCTCAAATTAAAGCCCGTTCTTCATACATAACTGCTCTCCAATTATGCATAATGGATGCTGATGTGCGCACATTGATTTCTTGTTAAGCATCATCACTTGTTAGAAAATAAATTTAGGCTTTGTTTGAGACAGCTTTCTTACTGCTTCTTAAAGCAATTTTCTAGTACTTGTAGATGTTGATGACTCCATTAAATGGAAGGAGATTATTAATTCTTATTCATGCCTTAACATACATAAATGAAAAATAAAATAGTGAGAAAGCTTTCTCAAACAGATCATTAATCAATTTCTTATTGAGACCAATTTATATCTTGCTCATGCATCCTAATGCTTTAGTATTTTTATTTTTTAAAATATTTTTAACTTTATTTATCTATATTTAGTTGATCATCAGATAGAATTTTATTATGCCAATAGTTCTCGATTTATTACATATATAAAAACCCACAATCACTTTTTTTTTTATCTAAAGTTATCTCATGATATGCTCAAGTGCGCACACTTATAGCTTATTCAAATAGCACAACCCTCCTATAATTAAAAGCCGAGAGAATATTTACGCTGCTTATCAGGATTAAACAGACCAAAATGATTCTCTGCTCCCTGTGGTTAATTCATGTTCTCATCAAACATGGCAAAGATAAAAGTATTAATATAGTTCCCTGGCCGTTTGGGTGTTCCTTGCCCCACATGCCTTATTAAATTAGAGACATATGTCTGGGCATTCTCTGTCGTCGCACCCACCCCACCATCTGATGGCCAGCCACTCTTCGACACCACTATGGCGATGTTGTTTCCTCCTACCTTCTCAAGAGCCGTGTAGAGGGCATCAACGGTGGCATCAAAAAGATTTTGATACTGCAACTGTCCGTTTGAAACCACCGACCTAGGCGAAGTAAAGAGCGCATAAGCGAGGGTGACTGTATTGAGGTTGTCGATATAAGAAAAGTAAGGGTAGACATTGGCAAGGAGCGGCGCACCAGTACCGGTGAGGAAACCGATAATGGGTTGGAGAGTGGGGAGGGTGTATGATGAGAAGGCACCAGCGGATGGAGGGTAGGAGTTTCCAATCACTACGGTGGAAATAGATGTTGAGACTTTGATCTTATCTTGGAGGCCAATTGACTGTAATGCATTTTGCACATTCTGCATTGCAGGGAGAACATTTTGGGCTTGAGGTCCAGGAATAAGCTCATTGCCAACGGCTATGTAATAGAAATTTACGTCCTGGGAGAAAGGTTGGATGTTGCTTTGAACCCATTTGAAGGCAACAGAGGGGTCGGATGCCAAAGATGCCACATCAATCCCCACGTCGATTATGTCTTCAATGTTAGAGCCTCTTAGGGCTCGAAAGACATCTTGGTTGGGGGCATAGAGCCGAATCCCTCCTATATTAGAAGATGAAGCTTAAGAGAAGAGAGGAATTCGAACCTGCAATGATGAAGCTAAGAAGCAACGCATTAATGGCCACAATAGAGAAGAAACTATGATTTGCCATAGCTAACTGAAGCTCTTATTAAATTCTCAATGAATATTCTCATTATATAGAGTTTGATGAGAGTACTTCCTAATTTATATTAAATAATAAGTTTAGGATAATTTATATTAAAATTAGATCAATAGTAAAATTTAAATATCAGAGATATTTAAATTTAAAATTATAGAAGATGTTGTGTATGAATATTATTTATTTTTTTTGTAATAAAATATATTATTAAATAATTATTACATCATCATTATATCATTTAAAATTTATTTAAATAATTTTAATATTTATTACATCATCCGATTCCACTATGGTCGAATCATTGAACCTTGAATCTCTCATTCTTCATAACCTTGAAGAATTTTATAGCATTACTAGTGGTTGAATTGGCAGCTAGAATATGATTTTATTTTAAGGATATAGTTGTTTTTTATCGTTACAAAATTCATAATTGCTTCTTGCATATTTATTTTTATTAATTTTGTTGTATCTAATATTTTCCTTTTGCTGATAAGCAATTTTACTAGCAGGTTAATGTGTTATGCTGAAACCTCTGAATGAGAATGGAGAGTGCAGTGGGAATAGAGAGAGCATAGAGAAAAACTATACATCTCAAATAGAAAGAGTACCCACTATTTGAGAAAATTTAGTTTCTAAGGGCTACAGAAAAGACTATATAAAAAAATGTATAAAATTACAAGCAATATAAAATACCATTACAATGATATGCTAATCTAAACACGTGTCGCCTCCTAATAAGCTGGAAAGCAATGAAGTCAATAGACAACCTCTCTGTGGGTGAGCTCGCTGGTGGCAAGTAGGCTCCATGTGAGTCTATGAGTGATCCTTTGTGAGTGACCGAGCATAACTGATGTCTTGTGTAAAAGATCTCAACCTGCCTTAAGGAAAAAAGATAAGTGAGATGTTACAAGAATGGAGAGTATGAGGCCAAATAATAATAATTGAATAGTGTGGAAGATCCTTACAATAGATATCATCCTATAACTGACTTGGATGAGTTAGAATTATCTTGTGGGAGAGACAGTGAGAGAGGTAGTAGCAAGTGATGGTTTAACAATGCATCTCTAACTCATCCTGCATAGGGAAAGCTTTTAGCAGGCTCATGCACCTAGAGTCTGATGATCTCCTCGGGTAAGTTATATTGATGGCCCCACACGAATGCTCCAAAGGAACCCTTCAAGAGGGAAAATAGCCACTAGTAAGCAAGCTAAAGTTGAAAGCCTTGCGGTCGTGGCAACTAAGATACCAACCTAGGTGGTTGTCAATGAATGATTGGGAGCAGATGCCATAGAGGAGTACAAATTGCTTTCCTATGCCAGCCTTCGTGTCATCCTTCCTCCTTTAGGATTGATCTCAATGAAGGAACTCATGTCAAGGCTCAAGATCATTGAGAGTATGGCTCACCTTGAAAACATCATCGTGCTTAATAACTGAAGAAGTGGGAAAACATAATGGGAGGTCGTCGGACTAAAGAAAGAGACTGGCAAATAGAAATAAGCAATCCCAATGATGAAGACCCAACATAATATAATGAGGACCATAGTCGGCTCAATGAGGGCATGTGTATAGAATGCAAAGTTATCTAGCTTCACTACAAGAAGTAAATTTTCTCTAGATTATTTAGAAGGTATAAGTGGTTAACTCCAATGATTTTGAATGCCCATTGTATAGGATGCTCCATGGTGGTGAGTAGACTTGCCCCAATGCTATTATACATTTTTTCCTTTATTAAAATATCATAATGAAATAAAATAAAGTTTTTTTTTATTGGGTTGTACATATTACATACAAGTTTATTTAATTTTATTCTCACACTTTTTTTCTTTATGAAGTGGCAAGTGTTGTCTTGTGAGGTGAGTGAGATCAATTCTATGAGTGCCCTATGTGAGGTCATCACAGTGCGTGATGGTAAGTGACACTCAATCATCGAGTATAGGACTTGGGGAAATTTTAGAATTTTTTTTATAGCCATCATAGGGAACGAGAGAGAGAGAAAGAGTATGGGGCGAGTTCGATTTCAATGAACTAAGAAAGAAACTCTGCTCAATGAATGGCAACTAGCCTTTAAAACAATGACTGACCTAATGGACAACTTAAAGATCAAAGTAATGATCTACCCAATGAGCAATGACTCACCCAGGCTTGCTAGTGAGAGAAATAGTGGAATAGGTGAGAGAAATACTTGACGAGTGAAAGAGAGATCCCCAAATATTTTGCAACAGTGGAGAGAGAAAAATGAAATCTTCACATTTAGTAAGATGCGAGTGCCACTTCGAGATCCACATGTAGTAGATTTCTTCTTTGAATAGGCGATGTAGGGCCTTGTGGGCACTGGAATTTGAATTTTCAACTCATCTTACTCCTTGCATAGGTGAGAGAAATACTTAGCGAGTGAGAGAGATCCCCAAATCTTTTGCAATGATGGAGAGAGAAATATCAAATATTCACATTTAATACGATGTGAGTACCACTTCAAGATCCACATATAGTAGATTTCTTCTTTAAATAGACAATATATGGCTTTGTGAACAATGCAATTTGAATTTTCAACTCATGCTTATTTCTTGCTCCATTGTGATTGTGAGTGCCTTGCTATGAGTGCTTTACTTCGAGTATGATCGCCCTCCAAAAGTGAGTTCAGGATAACTATGATGCACCAATAATTCACAATAGAAATATGTTGTGTTCAACATGAACAAGGCATTAATGTGTTTACACACAATTAGATTATTTTATTTGAAAAAGGTTGGGACACCAATGTCAAATGTGAAGTGATCGTCTATTAGTTGAATAAGAAAAAGTGAATTGATGAACCTTTTATCTCAAAAGAAACATTTATCTTATATACATGGCCCTTAAATGTTCTCCTCAACCTACTTGTATCCATTTTTCTATTATCATCAGTTTTAGAAATAAAACTACAAGTGTTGGATCCATCACCAATGCGATCTAATGACTCTTTTATTGGTGGCTCAATGCTTTTCGATAACTTACAAGTCTCTTTGAACCTTTTTACAGAGCCTCATGCTATAAATTTAACTTTTTATTATGTGAGTAGTTGAAACAAATTTATTGTTATATGAATAATGGTGTTTGCAT